TCATCTCTCTTTTGCTGACGGTAGGGTTCTTGGCTGACAGTTTTGTTTTTAAATTCTTGTAGCACTTTGACTAGGCAGCCCACTGCCTTCCGGCTCCCATCGCTGTTATTTGCCTTTGTCGTTTTGTTGTTCCTTGACACACGATGAGTTGCTTTCCTCTAGCTTCTTTGAAGATTTTCTCTTTGTCTTCCAAAGGTTGGCTGTGCAGTGTCTAGGTGTAGATCTGTGTTTATCCTCCGTGGGATTTATTGAGCTGCTTGGATCTGCAGATTGTTTTCATCCTATTTGGCAGTTTTCCGCCATTATTTCTTCAAATATTTTTTTCTGCCCCTTTCTTTACTCTCCTTCCGGCATTCCCATTACACATCAGCTGTTACACCTGATGTTGTTGTGTGGGTCTCTGAGCTTCTGTTCATTTTTCATTCTTTCTCCTCCTTGTTCTCCACGTTGGCTAATTTTGCTCTGTAAGTTCACAGATTCTTTCTTCTGCCTTCCTGAATCTACTATTTAGTCCTTCTACTTAATTTTTCATGTGTTATTGTACTTTACAACTCCAGAATTTTTATTTGTATTGCAGTACAATATACACAGCACAGACTTTTACTGTTTTAACAGTTTTTAAGTGCACAGCTCAGGAGCATTGAGTCCACTCACTCTGTTATGCAGCGATCACCACTGTCCATCTCCAGAACTTTCTCACATCCCAAACTGAAGCCCTGCACCCATGAAACAGTAACTCCCCGTTTCCCCCCGACCCCCAGCACCTGGGAACGACCGTGCTACTGTCTGTCTCTGTGAATTTGACAATTCTGGGTACTTCATGTAAGTGGAATCCACACAGTACTTCCCATTTTGTATCTGGCATAATGTCTTCCAGGGTGAAGGCTCTCTTCTAGGCTGCAGACGCCTTGCTGTATCCTCACCTGGCTATGAAAGTCCTGGCTAGCATGGGCAAGAATGCTCTGTTAGCTTTTTGCTAACTCAGGGCCTGGACCCCTGATCCTTTCTGCTCACTCCCGAGGGCCAGTCACAGAATCAGAACGTTTGGGATCAGGCCCATCGTTCAGCCCCCTTTGAGCTATCATCCTTCTCATCTCCTCACTGTTCCTAATGGGCTGAGCCCCCGGCGGGTCCCAAGTCCTCTCAGAGCTGAGGCTGCGTAATCACTGTAACCAGCCCGCCCCTCCACCAGTCACAGGGAACCGCAGGTTTTGGAAGATGTTGCTCACTGAAATACTGCATTTATGAAGATGTCCTGTTCCCATCATTTATTATGATTAAGAGCTTTCGGGCAGCATGCGGTAGGTAGCCAGTACCACTTCCTGGGTAGGTAAACCTCGTAGATATCAGAATGGTATGGTGAGCCTTTGCCACCTGACCGAGGCACACGTGAAATTTCTGGAGTACTGAAAATAGCTGATCAGTCGCCCATTACTCTCCGTGTTTCCTGGACTTAGCTGCTGGGTGGCCCCTCCTGCTCAGGGCCATAGACACATGGAGCTGAGCTTGGAGCCAGGTTTCTTGGTGCCCAAGACTGTGCTCTTTTCACTCAAGTAGACTGATTTCTATACCTTTATACCCAGGCTTCCCCCAGACCATCAAAGGTGTCTCACTGTCTCCAGGCACATTCCTCCCCCAGATGACCGCTGTGCTCACAGCCAGCACTCCTAGGCTCTCCTGAATAGCTTTGCAACTGTTGGTGCCTGGCTGGGGACACCTGTCTTACTCTCCCGGCTGGAAGCCTCTCTGCGCAGGGGCTTCAGCCCCTAATTGCACCACTCACCTGGCCTTTAGCACTTCCTGCCTCACCAGGTGGATCAGGGCAGGCCTGGGTGTCACTTTTCTTGTGCCCAAACCGAGGAGCCAGCACTTGAGTGAAGGTTCACCTCCAGCTCAGCAGCTCTGCAGGCCTCCCACCACAGCCTGGTGCTGAGCCTCGCACGCCGGAAGGCGTGCGGGAAGGGTCATCCCTGTGACGGTCACTAGGCACCGGCGTTAGTCACTGTGTGCTTGCTTTTCAGTTGTGGAAAGATAGGTGGGCCCAGGACTGGATCACAGAACACTTGCTGTTCCATCTCTTCCTTATTACCCCAAAGCGATACCAATGCTGTTCTACATTTTCTTCTATTAAAAAGACTGAGGAAGGAAATGTCACTCCCCAACAGAAGGAAGCACTGTACACATCAGACGAGTTCCCAGAGGCAGCAGTGGAGTGTTCCCCGTTCACGGGGCTGACCTTCCTGAGAACGTCCCACATAGGTTTACCCACCCAGCTTAAAGTCCGCGCTTCGGGTCTGGCTCTCGTCTCCTGCTGCGGGAGGGCGGACGCAGGCCCGGGGCCTCCGTGCCGACCAGCGCTCCCAGCAGCAGCTGGAGGCAGAGAGTGGCAGCTTCCCCGGATCCCGACTCTCTCTTCTTACTCCCCTTTGTAAAACATCTAGTTTAGAGTGATTCAAACTGATAAATATTTTTTAAATTAACAATTTATTTCATTTTTGAAAAAGCCACCCTTTGCTACATTATACATCCTAAAAGGAGACGGCCGTAGCAGGGAGCGGAGCAGTCAGCGAAGGCCGGGGCCCGCCCCCCTCCCCGCCCTCTCCTGTGGCCTGTGTCTTTCTCTGCAAGTGTTATTCCTGCTTCAACCTCGTGGATTCATAGAAACTGAGGCAGAGGATTGAAGGCACACATGCGTGAGTTTCCTGTCCCTGGTGCCTTTCTGTGCCCAAAATTAGTGTTCAAAAGCCATGGAGTAGCTAAATTATTCAGAGAATCTAAAACCTGTCTATAAAAGGGGCTGGAGGTGATCTCTGAAAACGGTTTGCCATTCACTTGATGCAGAAAATGCCGCAAACCATGCAAACCAAGAGGTTCAAGACCCACGAAACCGCCCAGGCCATCAAGGGCACGTGGATCCGAAAAGCCGACCAGGCTCGGAACAGGCTCATTCGCAGCAGCACCGGGCGGCATCCTGTCCTGACAGCGGTCCTGCTGTCGGCAGGCGCAGGGCTCGCCCTGCTAAGCCCCCCTGCCCAGAGCGGAACCAGAATGAGGCGCTGGGCGTGGGCTGGAATGACACACAGCGACTTTTCTACAAATGTGGAGGTTTATTTCAACAAAACGTGAAAAGAGTATATTTGACAGAAGCTCCTTGCTCGTCAGGCTACGCGTCCATCGAATCTCAATGAGACAAGTGAAGGCTGCTGTGTGAACAGGGCTGAACAGGCGACGTGGCCACCTCTGCTCAGGCAAGCCTCGGGCGATGCCTCATTCGCCCTCCTCCCGCCTCAGGAGCCCCGCGTGGGTGACGGGCGTGGGTGCGACGGGCCGCGGTGCCCGCGGCGCTTCCTGACCTCCCCCCAGGAAAGAGCCCCTGTGCAGGGTGAGCCCCGAAGTCGGGCACTCTGGGGGTGGGGGCTGAGCATCACTGAGTTCCAGAGAGGAAACCTCGTCATTTAATGTGTCATAATTTGGTCGGGGAGGGGGCGGGGAGGTAAACAGGTGTAACCCACCCTGCCTCTGAAGAGATGCCCGGGCAGCACAGGCCTTCACACCGCCTGTGGGTGTGTGGAATCTGACTTGCTGGAGAACAGGGTCGAGGAATAACCTGGTCAAAGGCGAATCCCGTTCCTACTGGGTAGGCAAATGCCAGCACAGAGGATGTTCTCCCTGGACTGGAAATTGTTCCCCACCTCTTCCCGCCTTTCTTAGCCGGGGCACCCACCCCGAGCCCCGGGGCAGCCTGCCCAAGGCTCCGGGCTCCTGGAGGCGAATCCGGCCACAGTGCCCGCCTGCACACACAGCTCCTGGAGGAGGGGAGCGGAGCTCCTCCTTGTACGTGGACTGTAGGGTTAAGGCTCAAAACTGTAGTGTGCGCGGAAGTCTTCGTACCGCTGCTTCCCTGACGTCTTACTGATTTCTTCCGTGGCTGTCAGTGACACGTGCAATTAGCTGCACGGTGGGAACCGGATGCTACACCAGCCCTGATCACCTGCCACTCTTGCTTCAGGAAATCAGGGGGAATCAGTAAGCTCTTTCCGTCACCTGTGAGGAGGCCCCTGCCGTTGGCTGGACACGGACCCGGGAGCCTGGAAGACAGCAGCACCATGACGCGTCGTGGAGACTCTGAAGGTCACACGGGTTCTGTGTTCCCCGGGAGCCTCCCCACAGCGGGAAGGCCGTGGAGGGGGCCAGCTGCTCATGCTGCCTGTGTGCGCTCGAGGAGCTAGACACACAGCAGGTAGGAGCGTCAGAAGGGGGGGCCCCGGAAACACGAGTGACGGCTCTGTAGGCACCGCTAACCGCTCGTGACCACTGCGCCAGGCTTCATGGTAACAACCTTCCAAGTCCTAAGAAGAGAGGCTCTCCGGGCCACTCTCCTTGTGGCATGAGTCGCTACTTTCCATCGGGGACGGGAAGGGCAGCTCCCCAGCTCCCCCTCTGCCACCTCGGGCTGC